GACTGCTGCAGAAGGGGCCGGGGAAGGCTGGGACTGGACGCGGGGACGCGGGACTCCACTCTGGGCTCCGGGCTGCCCTGGTGAGCCCACACTCGCCCTCATCCCCGCCCTGCGCAGCGCCCAAACTTGGCGAACGCGCGGAGACGCCCCGGGCGCACCTGTCCGACTGCAGAACCCCCACCCCCGCCCCGCCCCGCTCTGGTCTGCCATTAAGGGGCGAGGCGGGGGTGCGCTCGGATCCCATGTCTCCTCTCCCGCAAGCCACCGCTCCCCTACGCCCCCCGCCCCCACACCCCCGACCCCCAGGATCCGCTGGATTGCGGGCTCTCAGGAGAAACTGAGGCCGGTCTCTGGGGGCGGGACTCTGTGGCCCTGCGGTCACTCACGCGGTTGCGACCCTCAAAATCACCACCATCTGGTGCCCCGACGCCGGCACGCACCCACCGAAGTTGGCGGCAGGAGCAGCCGCGCGTGCGCCTGGGCGCGGACTCCGGGGAGGGGGGCGACCTCCGACGGGAGAGGCGGGGGTGCACATCCCACTCTCCAGCCACCTCGCCAGCCCGCCAGCTCGCCTCCCCGGCGCCCCTCGTACGCACTCACCGCCCGCGCGTGGGGACCGGCGGCGCAGTCTGCTCTGGTCGCGCTCCTGGCCGAGAGGCGCCGAGTCCGAAGCGGCAGGTGTGTGGCCGAGTAGGGCGCCCGCGCCGCCCCCGCCCCGGTCGCCTGCAGGCTGCCGCGGGGGTGCGCTGAGGCGCGGGTCTCCCGGGTCCCCGAGCAATGACGGGGTGTCAGCAGCCATGTCCAGGTCGCACAGCCCCTGACAGCTGCCCGCCAGGGACCAAGGCCTAAGGGCTGAGCCCAGGGATAGGGGAGGGGCCACAGGGGCCTGGAGTCAGCTGGGGAGTGGATGGCCGGCAGAATCCAGCGCCGGACCAGTGGTCCAAGAGGCCCAGCAGGCTCCTTCCCTGCAAGCTCAGCCTCGACTGCTCTTCCAAAGACTGCCCTAGGGATTGGCCATCCGAGGCTCCCAGCCCCATGCTGGCCACCATCTCAGGTGGTCACCACACCTTCAGAAAGTATTACTCAGCCTCCAACCCAGCTTCCCTGGGAGGTGACCCAGCCTCTCACATGTCTCCCAGGAAGTCTTTGAGGGATGAGGGAGGACTGGGAGGGGTCTGGATGTCCCCAGATACACTATAGGCCACTGTCCTGCCTGGTGTCCTGTATCCAGAGCTGCTCCAGCCTCCACTCTCAGCGTCCCCTGGTGCCAAGGCATTCCTGACCTGCTCAAGGTCCCCCCTTAATTCCCGTGTCCTAGCCTGTGTCTGGGGAAGGAAGCGTGTGCTAGAGGAACCCGGGTGAAAGTACCAGCCATGGGAAATGTGTCAGAAGGTCCAGGCAGCATCCGGGCAGCGTCTGCTGTAGGACTCCTAGGGTGAACCCAGCTTAAATCAGGAGACAGAGGTGTCTTGGGAAGGTGGGTAGACCCCTGGGGGGAGGCTCTGGGTGTTATCCTCAGAAAGGAACATTGGATGGACGTTACGCACCTGCTCCGTGCTGTGCTCTGGCCTCCTTTCTCTGTCTGGGCAGCAGGGTGACCCTCCTGCCTCGTATTTGAGTACCACAGCGCCTCCTGGACCTGCCACAGATCATGGTTGGCCATAGACAGGGCCCTCCTGGAGTGCTGACCACTATGTCCAGCAGTCCAAATGGAGGAGGGCCCCGGGGGCCTGGCAGACAGCCCAGCTTGCCAACATTGGCATGAAAGCCAAATACCCCTCCTGATCCCGCTGGGTGGCTGTCCCTCCCCATCTAGAAATCTGTGGGGCGGGGCGGGACAGAGTGTCACAAGTGGTCCAGTACCCAGCCTTCCCCTCTGTGCCACCTGGCCTCACCCGGCTGACCATGCAGGCAGCCAGCCCGGCAGGGGCACAGCTGGAGTGGTTTTCTCACCATTGGTCTTGCAAAGCGTGGAGCCAGGAGGCTAGCTCCTGCCTGCAGACCCCTCCCAGACAGCCAAGCCAGGTCCCTTGTCACAGGTGCCATCCAGAGAGCCCCTAGGTCAAGCCTAGCTGGCACAGGGGACAGGCTGACAAGCAGTTGGATGGAGGGGCTAGTGGTGTGAGACTAGGTTGTCCCAGGTGACCACAGGAAGCCAGGGGACCAGGAAGGCGTGAGCTAGACATTCTCCTGAGCTTCCAGGTGTGACCAATGCAGAGGCGGGTGAGTGGGCTTTGAGGTCCCTGCTGCGGGGGGGTGCTCGGATCACCAGCACTGTCCCCCTGTGGCCTGCTGGCTTACCTGTCCTCATAGGTGGACAGCAACATGCCTGGGGCCCCACCTCACTTTTCTGTCAGGGTGCAACCTCAGGGCACAAGCCTCCCACAGCGGACTCACAAGGACACGTGCTGACCCCTTTAGCCCACCTCTGAGTGTTGGGGTGTGCCTGAACTGAGTGTGCACCCCCCACAGAGTTACGACCCCCCCCTACCCAGCCCAAGTCTTGGTCTCCTCTTGGCAAGGTGGTGGTGGGATTTGGGTTTTCTAGGTGCATACGCTCCAGTGGAAACCCTAACTCTTCCCCTACAGTCATCTGGGCACTGGGACACCACAACCTCACCCCTCCATCCCTGGCCAGAGGGTCCTATCTCTGTCATGAATCTTCTTTGCCCACAGAAGACCACCTGTCACACCCCTAATGCTAAGATTCTGAGAAGGCAGGTGGGGAGCAAGGCAGGAAGCAGGGCCTGGGAAAAGCAGGGGTACTAAGTTTGAGGGCCACCTGGGGTACCTATGATAAAGTAGCAACTCTGGGTCCAGGTGTGGTCAGGCGCAGCAAAGCTAGAGTCAGCTGTATGCAACGATCTTGCTGGTTCACATTCCCGCCTTTCTTGTGCACAGAGACCCCTGGTCCCAGGGCACTGGGGCTACTGAGTGCTGCTTCCGCATGCCCACCCAAAGAGGTCTCAAGGACCCCCTGAGGGGGGAGTTCAGGCTGGCTTCTTAGCTGGTGCCAGGGACTCTGAGGGTGAGGGCTGTCAGGGAGGTAACCTCTCAATCACACCCCAAACCAAACCATCTCACTGCCAACCAGCTGATGCTGACTCGCTTGATAGCGACCTTGTTTGCATAGGGTTTCTGAGGGTTTAAATCTTTATGGGAGCAGACAGCCTCAACTTTCTCTCAAAGTGCTGCTGGTGGGTTTGAACCACTGACCATACACTTTAGAGCCCAACACTTAACCAGAGTGTCAGCAGGGGACAGGCTGGCAGGAAGCTGGATGGAGAAGGAGAACCACCTAAATCCCACCTCAAGGCCTGAAGGTGTCTGTCTCCTCCCAGCCTTCAGCCTCCTTCCCTCTAATCCCCACAAGTGGTGTGTCCCTACACTGCCTCCAGGAAGGTGGCCTTCACTCTCCTCATATGTACATATGAGGGAAGAATCCCAGGGCCACATGGTGGTCTCTGCCCAGACCTCATCCTTCCTGGAGAAGCAGCTGTCTTCAATCTCCACACCCTGTCACCCCATCAGCATTCAGCCTTATCCCCACCTCCGTGGGTCATCACTGCTTGAGGTGGGCGATGATCCAGGGAGCTCCCAGGGCCAGGGAGACGCTGGGGAGCAGGGCTGGTGGTATGAGGAGTTGCGGCTGCCTGCCTGCTTGCCTTCCCCCTGGCCAACAGCAACAGCGGCCATATGTTCCAGGAGAGCGGCCGTGCTGCCTCCGTGGCCCCAGGGCCGCCTTCGTGACCTGTCACAGATGATTTTTTTTGCCTGAGTGGCAGGCGCGGCGGGTGGGGATGGGGACCTGAAGCTCTCTTCCCAGCCAGACCCTAACCTGTGCGGCCGCACCACTCCCAGGGTCCAGCCCTGTGAGGCTCAGATTTCCAGCCCTTGCCCTCTTCAGTGCCTGGCATTCCCTGGGGGTAGCCTTCCTGTAGGGAACCTCGCAAGCAGGCTGTGGGCGGGCACCGGGGGCCCACACCCAGAGCTGTGTGTGTATGTGTGTGTGTGTTGGGGGAGAGGGCAGGCTCTGTGGCCTCCGCTAATGTGTATGTTAAGTGTTTCTGACAGGCCAGTGCAGAACTCAGCAGCCACCACCACGTGGGCAGTCATTGCTGCAGCCGGCCGGGGTGACACTAGACAGGGACCGTGCATGTGTCAGAGGGAAAAGAGGGGACCCACACCTCAGCCAGTGTGTCCAGCTTCTGCTTCAATGACTGACTGGGGGTGGGAGCCATGACCCCCCTCCCCCCAGCTGCCTGGGTCACCTTGCCCTTGGTGATCCCAGACTCCCCTGCTGCCCCCCAGCACATTCTTTCAGGTCCTCAGGGGAGACGAGTCTTTCCCTGACTCAGACCCTGACACTTGACCCAGGACCCCAGGGCTCCCCTCACATCCCCCTGGGACGAGTCCTGGCCCAGCGCCTGCTTGGTGGCAGCGTGCGTGGCTCAGCGACCACAAGATAAGATATGGCAGCTTCCCCCTCTGCCCGAGGCCCGCCTGGAGCCAACACTGCTGGCGGCTTTAATTGCTCACATTCGATTGCTGCCCCGTGACAGGCCTCATACAGCAAAGTCCCCCACCCTGGTGGGCTGTTCTCAGACCCAGACTCTGGATTTGGGGGGCACCTGTGATGTTAGGGTAGGGGAAGGTTCCAATACATAAACACCTGGCACCTGGGACCATCCCTGTGCTGGACCATCAGCACCTGGGTCTGGACAGCCCTTCCCCAGGTACCTGGACAGTCCATCCCTGCCCCCAGAGACACAGACCACTGTTACAAAACAAAACCTTTTATTTGGTCCATCGGAGCCTGAGTCTGGACCCCGTCCCTGGGAATCCAAATGGGACGGGGCTGACGTTGATAAAATAGCCTCTGTGAGAAGAAGAGCCGCGGTATTTACAGGGTTAAAAATATTCACAGCTCAGAGAAAAGGAGGAACTAAAAGGAGCCTGGAAGGGGAGGGGTGTGCTCCGCTGGTCCCAGGACAGGCCGCGGGGGGTGGGGGTCGGGGAGGTGCCCTGAGGGTGGCGGGTCTGGCAGCCAAGCGCCTTGGGTGTCCCAAGTGGGTGGCGGTGGGAGGCATCCCGCCTGTGTGCCTGGGGTGGAGCTGACCCCACGGTGACCCTGTCTGCTGGCGGGGCTGCCTCACTATAGAGCCCCCACCCTCTCAGCGCTGCTGCACCCTCATGGCTTCGGTCCTGGGGGGCCCAGGAATTGCATAGTGCGGCTGGAGGACCTCCTGGGACGGACCACACCACCCTACTGCTGACACCGGAGTGTTTGGGATCGGCCTCTCCTGTGGGGTGGGGACTCAGTGGTCAGCTGTCCTGTGGGGTGGGGACTCAGTGGTCAGCTGTCTCACCCCGAAATCCTGCTCCCACCGAGACCCTGCATCCCCGAGGCCGGGGGCCAGAGGAGACGTGTGGTCCCTGGCTGGTGGCTGGCTCGAGGTATTTGCTTTGCTGCCAAGAGGCCCTGGCCAGGCCAATGGGCCCTAGGGCCAAGGCGGGTGGGGTTGGGGAGGGCCCCAGGCTCCCCAGGGGTCCTGAGGTTCTTCCAAGTCCCCGGCCTGGGTGCGCCCCCTAAAGTGCATGGAGGTGGGTGCAGCCCAGCCCAGGTGGCAGGCCAAGGGGTCACAGTGGCCGAGGCCCATGCAGGCCAGCAACCTCGGGCGTGAGTGGGGGGCTGTGGGTGCCCTTGGTGGCTGTCCAGTCGCTGAGGAAGGCCTGGGTTGCCTTGCGGTGTGCCAGGCGGTGTGTGATGGAGAAGCCAGCATTGCCTTCCAGCTGAGACAGGATCACCAGGACCTGCCTGGGAGAGGGGGCCGGTGAAGGGAGGGTCCAGCTGTCTGGAGGTGTGTGTACAGATGTGTGTACAGGTGTGTGCACAGGTGTGCTGGGGGCAGGCCCACCTGTGCAGGGGCGGTACACTGTCATGGGTGCGCAGGCTGCCTCTCGTGGATACCACGTTGAAGCTGTCGGTACAGTCGCACTGAACGTGCAGGTAGGACTTGGGGTGCCGATTCTCCACCACCACAATGAGCCCCGCCCAGCCGTGCGTCAGGTAGTAGCAGGTCATGCCCTCGCGGCCCTGGTGCAGGTGACAGGTGTGGGTGGGAGCCATGGACAGCCCTGCAGCAGGCCCCCGTCCCACCGCGGGCTGCCCCTCCCACCTCGTGCCGCTCGCCCCGGCTCTCGGTCAGCAGGATGATGGCATCGGCTAGCGTGCTGGGCTGGGCTTCCACTGGTTCCACCATCACCAGCCTGGAGCTGTAGACGGCCAGCACATGGCCAGGCGGCTCTGGGGCGCAGCGCGGGCTCCCTGGAGAAGGGCTGGCGACTGTGAGGTGGGCATTGAGGGCATTAGAGGAGACGGGCACCCAGTGTGCAGCCCACGTGGGAAGCCGCCAACCCTGCCTGGGTGCCCCGTTACCCTGTATGGCGGCAGGGCTGGTGCCCCAGTGGTTGAAGGCGCAGCACACAACCGCATATTCGCCCGGCTCCAACATGACGTCACAGTTGACAAACTTCTTGACGGCCCGTTTGCTGTGGGCCAGGAGGCGGCCCAGGCTCAGGCGGCCCCCGCTGCCAAAGGTGGCCCGGAACACCAGGATGCACAGGTCGAGGAGATGGCTGTCCCCTGAGTCTGAGCGCCTGTGGACAGGGCATGTGGTCACGGCAGCCCATCATGGCCACACAGCTGCCTGCCCACTACCACGGCCTGCCTGTCCGGCCCCACCTGCTACCCTCCTGGAAGAGGGCAAAGTCCAGCGAAGCCCTCTCGAGCACAGTCAGGGCGGTGACACCCACAGGCCCGCTGGCTGAGCGGGGGAAGCAGCCCCGGACCCGCACCTCCTGCCAGTCGGAGCGAGCCTTGCAGATGTCCACCGAGTCGAAGTACCTGAGGCAGAGGACAAAGGTTCTCCCACAGTGGCCCCCCAGCCCTGGGAGTCTGTTAGGAAAAGGGCCCCACCATGCCACAGACATGGCCGAGCCAAGCTTTGTCTAGGCCAGCGTGGAGGCTGACTTGTAGGGTCCCCACTGCTCTGTGCCCTCAGGTGCACCCCCACATCCCAGCACCTGATAAAGTCACTGTACTCCATCCAGAAGACACCTTCGCCGCTGCCCAGGGGGACAAGCTCCCCACGCAGGTGTCCTGGCCAGTGTGGCCACTCGTCCGACCAGCTGCCATTCCAGGAGAAACGGCCCCATGGGTTCCGAAGCCGCAGGAGCCTGTAGATGGCCGAGTGGCCAGCTGACGTCATGGTCGAGTACACCTGCTCCCCCACCCGTGCGCCCCCCAGCCCCAGCCCTACCTGGAGCCCTGCACATCACGAACGTCCAGGATGGAGTAAGCATGGCGTGGCCGCAGACCCAGGCTCTCGTAGGCCGCGTCGTCTACCTTCATGTTGCCCCCACCGCAGGAGGCCCCCATGAGGAACCTGTGAGCAGGGTGGCCGTGCCTGACATGGTGGCGAGACCCCAGCCTCCTGCCCGTCTGTCCTGGTCCTGTGAGACCCCAGTCTCTTGTGCCCAGGGTCCCAGCCCTGCAAGACCCCAGCCTCCCGTCCCCAGGGTCCCAGACCTGAGACACCAGCCTCCTGTCCCCAGGGTCCTAACCCTGCGAGACCCCAGCCCCCCGTCCCCAGGGTCCCAGCCCTGTGAGACCCAAGCTTCTCGTCCCCAGGGTCCTAGCCTTGTGAGACCCCAGCCTCCGCCCCCCCTGCCCCCAGGGTCCCAGCCCTGCGAGACCCCAGCTCTCCCGTCTCCAGGGTCCCAGCCCTGTGAGACTCCAGCCCCCGTCCCCATCTTCCCTGGTCCTGTGAGACCCCAGTCTCTCATCCCCAGGGTCCTAACCCTGTGAGGACTCCAACATCCCGTCCCCAGGGTCCCAGCCCTGTGAAACCCCAGCCCTCCCCCCGTCCCCAGGGTCCCAGCTCTGTGAGAACCCAGCTCCCCTGTCCCCAGCCCTGTGAGACCCCAGCTCCCCCATCCCCAGGGTCCCAGTCCTCACCCTGCCTCTTTGCAGCTTAGCATCTTGGCCCAGATGAGGTCAGTGTCTACGGGCTCTTCTCGGGGGTTGGTGGAGCTGACCTGCAGGAGGAGGCTCTCACAGGGCGCCCCAGTAAGCGTGGCCAGGCCCTCGATGGCACGACCCGCCTGTAGCGCAAAGTAGGAGCCGTGCAGCTTGGCGAGTGCCTTTTCAATGAGCGCCACCCACAGCTGCTTCCGCTGGGCCTGTGGGGAGGGCCAGGTTGGATGGAGATGGCTGCTGCCAACAGGCGCCCTGTCCGCTGCCCTCCACACTCCCTGCCCACCTGGGAGAAGAGCAGGTAACCACCCTCATCACAGGGCAGCATGTCGTCCACCAGCACCGTGATCCATGTACCATCTTTGCAGAGCCGCACTTGGTAGGCGCCCTCGGGACATAGGTCTCTAGTGACCATGACACGCTCCACAAGGTCAGGCCGCTCCGCCAGCACCGCCAGGGCGCTCAGGAACCTGAGAGCGGGGACTGCTTAGGGGTGCATGGTTTGCCCTGCCTGGTCCCTCCCATGGCCAACCCCAGACCCTCTGTCCTCACCAGCAGTTCCCCAGAAGCCCCTGCAGGATGTCTGAGGGCCGCAGTCGACAGAACACGGTCCACGGAACCGTGACGGGATCCTTGAAGACGGAGCAGTTGATCTCGTGGGGACGCAGCCACTGCCGCACACGCTGCTGGACTCCATCACCCTCGGGGAAACCCACAGACTCGGGCCCGGGCCGGAAGCTATCGTCCACGAAGTTCATAGCATTCTGAAGGAAGCTGGTAGTTAGGGTCTGCATGGGTCAAATGGGATCGATCCAGACAACCAGTAGCGGGGCCGAGGTCAGGCTTGATGGTGGACGAGGGGATGTGTGGCCAAGGGGCAAGTAGGGTGGAGGACAAAGTGGGGTGCACCTTGACCTTAGCTCTCAGCAGGGCCTCTAAGGCACCTACCCCCTTTGGCCAGGCCAGGCCAGGCCGCAGAGCAGCCATTCCCTGACCACCACCTCACGGCCCTCCCCTCCCCGCCCCATCCACCACCTACCTCCCGGCAGAAGGCCACGATGTGTTCCCACAGGGCTTTGGCCTCACCCTCGTCTGTCAGCCGGCGCTTCTCCACCAACATGCTCTCCCGGCGCCGCAGGGACACGGCCCCCTGGCACTGAGCCTCTAGCAGCTGTGGTGTGTGGCAGGTGGCACAGTGCCGGGCACGTGGCTCATTGAGCAGGGTACAGGCTGGGCAGGCCCACTGGGCCTGGCGTTCGGACAATGCAGCCGGGAGGAGGCGTGTGGCCTTGTGGGCTGAGGAGGCCCAGCTGCAGGTGCCACTGCTGCATGACCCAAGCCTGTCAGGGCTGCAGTCGGGGCAGTGGGCAGTAGATTCGCTGTGCTCCTGGAAGCCATGCAGCTTGGAGCAGCCACAGACTGAGCAGCGGGTGGCTACTGTGGGGTTGCGGAGTGTACACTGGGCGCAGGACCAGGTGGTGAAGTCGGGGCTGGAAGGGCTGGCAGGCGTGAAGCGCACAGAGTCGCTGGCTAGGTCGATCATGTCGCTGCCCGAGGCTGGGCCACAGCCCTCGCCATGGGCTGGGCTGCCCTCCACCATCGCCTCCTCTAGCCCACTCAGCCGCTCTGCCAGGTGCGGGGTCCCAGTTGCCCCCCACCCGGGGCCCTGGGGAGCCTTGGGGCTGGGTGAGGGTTGGGTGGCCTCAGGCACCGGCGGCTGGGGCTGTGGGGGCACCTCCCGACGGCTGCGTGGCACAGGGTTGTTCTGCAGGGGCGGCGAGAAGGGGCTGAAGGTCGGCACGCGTGGGGGCTCCCGGTCAGCGGTGGGTGGGCCTTGGCTGGTGGGGGCAGGGGTGGCCTCAGTGCTGTCCCCAGGCAGGCTCGGCAGGAGCGGGGTGGGCCCGGAGTGGAAGCCGGCAGGGGCCACCACCTCGGGTACCACAAGAGCCTCGGGCGGGATCCTGGGCAGCGAGAGTATGCGAGGCCCCCCACAGACGGAGCAGGAGCTGGCCGTGGGTGTGTTGTGCAGCGTGCAGCGGGGACAGTCCCAGCTCCCAGGCTCGGTGGCTGTTGGCTCCGCTGTCGCTGTCCGTACAGGTCCCGCCTCGTCTTGGCAGATGGCTCTGGGCTCAGCCAGGACGGCAGGCGGCGGGGGCAAGGCCCCATTGATGGTGGAGGCCAGGGGCAGTCCAGGTGCAGGGTCCGGGGCGAAGCCACACACCTCACAGACCTCCTTACCCAGGAAGTTGCGGAAGGTGCAGCGGGCGCAGGGCCATTTCTGCCCCTCCACACTGAGCCGCAGGATCTGGTCTAGGTCAGGCTTCTGCCGAGGAGCCTCGCAGATGGAGCATTGACGCTGGCCGGCCGGGTTCAGGAAGGTGCAGCGGGCGCAGGACCACTCCCGGACCGCGGCCATAGACCCAGGCGAATGTGTATGGCTGTAGGACCAGGGGGCCAAGTCAGTTCCCCGGAGTGTGAGCCTGCTGTGCTCACCAGCAC